ATTTGCATGTCACAAATACCCTAATGGATGATGAGAGGACTGCAGGACAGGACAGGAGAAGGGGACATAGGTGGGTGGCTATGACCCAACCCCTTTTTCCAACTCTAAATTCCTTCCTTGCCTTCTCAAGGCCAACCTTGATTCTGGGTGAAGTGAGGTGACCCAAGGGCTCTAAGGGCCCTAGGGACACTGGGTGGGGAGGTGACCAGGTACAGCCGACACCAAGGGTGTTGAGAGACCACCGAACTGACACCTGGGTAAAGCAAGGCAGGTCTTTGGGCTGCTGAGGCCTGGCTCTGTGGGATCTCTTAATCCACTTTTGTGACTACAACAGAACAGCCTGACCAGGGTGATTTATTTGGCTTGTGGTTCTGGGGGCTGGAAAGTCCCGGAGCATGGCACTGGCCCCTGATGTGAGCCTCTGAGCCTCAGCTCTGTGGTAACAGCAGGGGACACCGCAAGGCCAGGCGGCAAGTGCACTGGCTTGGGCCTCTCAGCCACACCTTCCTGACTTGTCTGCTCCTTAATACCTCCCCGGGCTCTGCTTCCCAGTACCATTAACATCGGCATTTGGGGGTGAAATTCCCGACAGGTGACCTTTTGAGGGACACATTCGAGCCACACTGAAGATCCCTGCTGGACAGAGCTGGAGGGGCAGGGTGGGGCGCCCCAGCGTCCCCAAAGACCCGGGAACCAGGGACACTCACTCAGCATGGACGCGGGTGGGCCTGTCCTCAGCGCCTCTCATGCCTTGTCCTTTAGGTCACCGTCTACCCTGTGAGCTGTCACACTTGTGGTTCCTGCTCTACAGAAGGACAACTTGAAGCCCAGGGAGGTTAAGTGACTCCCCCACGGTCACACAGCTGTGGAAAGGCTTCCTGGTGCCCGAGGCTTCCCAAGGTGACTTGCACTTCCCTGATGGCCCTGGAATGTGCTCACCAACCAGAGTCGGGGGTACAGGACCCTTGTCCTGCTTCATTGCCACCCCCCCATGACAGTGTCTCCCCCACTGCTCAGCTGGACACCTGAAATGTGGCCCATTAGGCCATCTCCCTGGGAGGAACGCAGACATTTCCTTTTATTTTTTTGAGGCAGGGTCTTGTTATGTAGGTCAGTCTGGCCTTGAACTCACCATGCAGCCCAAGCTGGCCTCAAACTTGTGGCGATCCTTCTGCCTCAGCCTCCCTAGTGCAGGGATTACAGGTGTGTGTTACCACACCCAAAATTTACATTTTGGGGGGGATCTGGTATGTGCTCCACATGCTACATAGATAGGTTAACTTTTTAAATAAAAAAAAATTGTTTTTAAATTCTCATAACTGGTGCAGGAAGGAGATGGTTTTAGCTCCTTTTCTCGGATGAAGAAACTGAAGGTCTAAGCCACCTGCCACGTCTAAGCCACCTGCCACGCCGTGCAGCTTGTAGATGACACAGGCATGACTTGACCTCGAGAGCCATGCTCCACGGGCTGTGTCCTCTGTGGCCTTGGAGTGAGCCCGTTAGGGAGCCGTGGGCAGGTGGGAAGCGGGACAGGACTTCGTGGGGTGGAGCTGTTTGCTGACTGGGTGGGGAAGGACTGGAGGAGATTGGCAGGGATCTTAGGCACTGCAGGACCAAAGTCCCCCAACCGAAGGCAGCGGGTGCTCAAGGGTCACCAGCAGCCACAGAGCCAGCTTCTCCGCAGGCCTTGGGCCCACAATGCCAAAATTGTTTAGTTTCTCATAAAATCAGAAGAACAAAAGAGGCTTTGAGGTTGAAGAAGAAATTTTTTCAGTATTAGGGATTAAGTCTATGTCCCGGGACCCTTAGTTCCCATTTGACAAGTGGGGCATGAATTATGATTGCCTTGAGGATTTGTGAGCTTATGATGACGAGGGCCAGAGGAGGGGCTTGGGAAAGGGGACGTGGTCTCCAAGAGGCCCTGTGTTCAGGAGGGTAAGGTTGGAGGGGCAAGTGGTAGGGAATTCAATTTTTTTTTTCTTTTGTAGTTTTTTGTTAAGAACCTTTCATTGATGTAAAATATACATCCAGAAAAGCACACAAATCATAAACATGGTCATGTTCCCATTTTCATTCTTTTCAAGTCAGGCATGGTGGGGCATGCCTGTAATCCTAGCACTTGGGAGGCTGAGGCAGGAGGATTGCAAATTGGAAATCAGCCTGGGCAATTGAGCCAGACTGTGTCTCAACAAAAACAACAATAGCAGCAACAACAGCACATTCTTTTGAAACAAATGAACTAAATCCTTTTCACCTGGTCCACTTTCCAAAATGTTTTATGATGAGCTGGTATTGTAAATATAACTTTAAAAATACCACCTTGAAAGTTGCAGTTTCGGTCCAGTAGCATTTCTGTTGTGGAAGCTCTTTCAAAATCCTTATCTTTGCCTTGCTCTGGGAGAAAGGTTGAGAAAAGATTCATTTCCTTGTAAGTAAAATAAGGAAGTTGCTCTTTCCTTAGGGCTGCCAGGCTATGAAGGTGGCGTCCCACGTAAGCCCTGGCCATCGAGGTACCTCCCCCACTGCGCCTGCCCCACACCGCACCCGGAGCACCCCGCACCCCAGCACTGATGGAAACTGCTGTGGGCAGCTACACCCAGAGCACTCGCTCCAGAAGTTCTCCTGCCGGGAATCTGCCCTACATATGTTGCCAGGATTTGGCCCAGCTTCACGAGCAGAGATTTAGTACCACAGTCTGTTTATTGTGAAAATTTAGAATTAATGTAAGTGTTCAGCAGCAGGAAATTGGCTCAATATATTTAGCCATTGGAAGGTAGAATATTTCACAGCTGTTGAAACGTATTTCTGAAATACAGATTTGTGGGCCTTAGTGTTTCTTCAATGAAGCAGGATAAACAATTGCAGATGGAGAGATATTTATTATATAAATTCATAGAAAACTGCCAGGAAGGAAGTGCACCAATACAGGGAGCAGGTTCATGCTCTCCTGGTGGTGGGGATATGAAGGACTGCTTTCCTTCTTATTAAATATCTCTAACTGCCTACAGCAAGGATGTTAATTATATAAGCAGAACTCAAGGGTAGCCGAGTGTGGTAGCACATGTCTGTAATCCCAACACTCAGGAGGCTGAGGCAGGGGGATTGCCAGGAGCTCAAGGCTAGCCAGGACTACATAGTGAGTTTAAGGCCAGCCTGAACTACATAGGGAGACCCTGCCTCAAAAATTAAAAAAAGAAAAAAAGAACTCAAGGATAAAGCATTGAAGCCCGCAGTACCCATTCCTCTCATACCGCTGCCCCCAGCTCTCCCATTCTCTTCAGTCTTGCTATATAATTCAGGCTGTCCTTGAACTCACAGTGATCCTCCTGACTCAGTCTCTCAAGTACTGGGATGACGCACACACCACCACGTCTGGCTTCTTCTTCACTTTTTTGTTTGTTTTTTGAGACAAAAAGGCTATCCTTGAACTCACTCTGCAGCCCAGGATGGCCTCAAACTCATGGCAATCCTCCTGCCTCAGCCTCCCAAGTGCTGGGATTATAGCTAGGCACTTCTTTACTTTTAATGGTTATAGATACTTCTAGATATTTTCTTAAAATTTACCATATATTACTTTTTTTCTTTTAGTCAGGGTCTTGCTATGCAGTTCAGGCTGCCCCTGAACTCACTATGTAGCCCAGACTGGCCTTGAACCCTCTGGGATCCTCCTGCCTCAGCCTACGCCAGGTCCATATATTGCTTTTAAAACATATATGCACAATCAGAAAAACAATGGAGTGAATAAAGAAGAGTCTTCAAAATGATCCATGACGCCATAGAAAATTAGAAGCTTCAGGGCCGGGGATTTAGCTCAGTGGTTCCAGTGCCTGCCTTGCAAGCGCAAGGTCCCGAGTTCAATCTCCGGTACCAAAAAAAAAAAAAAAACTGAAATGAAGAAAAATAAATAAATAAATAAGAAAAAAAAAAAAAGAAAATTAGAAGCTTGGACATTTATTTTATTTTATTTTTTAAAAATAAATTTTATTTTATTTCAACTCATTTCCCCCTCAAGCCCCTCCCCTCCCTATGTACAGAAGCTTTGTTTCCATTGTTTCCTTGTTTTCACTTTTTCTTGTCCCTCCCTTCCTTTCTCCCTCCCTCCTCCCTTGCTCCCCTTCCCATCTGAACACTTTCTTCCCCTTTCCCAACATCCATTATATATGAGTCCTTATTTCCACATTCAGTTTCTCACATCAGAGAAACAATGTGGTATTTAAACATATGTGTCTGATTTATTTCACTTAAGAGTATGGTCTCAGGTTCATCCATTTAGGTATAAATATCTGAAACTCATCCTTCTTTATGGCAGAGTAGTACTCTATTGCATAAACCACATTTTCTTTATCCATTCATGGGCATTTGGGCTGTTTCCAAGATTTAGCTATTACAAACTGTGCTGCTATAAACATGGGTGTGCATATATCGCTGTGGTATGATGGGTTTTCTTTTTGTTTTTTGTTTTGGTACCGGGGATCGAACTCGGGTCCTTGTGCTTGCGCAGCAGGCGACGAAACCACTGAGCTAAATCCCTGGCCTGGTATGATGTTTTTAAGTCTTTCGGGAAGATACCAAAAAGAGATATAGCAGGGTCAAATGGGACCGCTAGCCATAGTTCTTTGAGGAATCTCCATACTGATTTCCACACTGGTTGAACCAGTCTGCACTACCACCAGCAGTGGAGCAGGGTTCCTTTCTCCCCACAGCCCCGCCAGCATTTGCTATTGGTTGATTTCTTGATAGCAGCCATTCTTTCTGGAGTGAGATGGACTCTCAGCATTGTTTTAAATAGAAGCTTGGACATTTTAACACAGCGAGTCTCTTTCTGTAGTTGAGCCGGGCTCAGTTCGGGAGGTCTCAGCTGGGGAGGTCGGTGGCAACGGGTCCCGGCTTGTGGTTCGTGCGGGGGTGTGTGGGGGGGCGGAGCTCCGGAGCCCTGAAGGGGGGGGGGGAGGATGCACTGAGCTGGGCGGGCGCAGGAGAGGAATCTTCTATCTGTTTGGTCCGGGTCACTGAAGAGGCAGGCGGGGACACTGGGTCCCAGCGGCCAGAGTCCTTATTTCTGGTCGTGCGGAGTTAATCAGTAATATTCTGCTATACACTCATCCTGATCAGGACCCTGAGCACAGGCTGCCACCATGTCGGTAAGAATGCTGCCTCCGCCTCCACCTCCCTCAGTCCATCTGTGACTTTGCCTGGCTGGGGTGGGGTGGGAGTGCTGCCCCTGTCTGGGTCTGTTTCCCTGCTCTGGGTAACAAGGAGGTTGGACGCCTGGCCACCGTAGTGCTTCAGTGTTGAGCTCTCAGCTTCCAGTGCTGTTGCTCTGCTTCAGAAGCTTGGGCCTGACTCCTGACAGGTGCCGGCCTCAGTTTCCTCGTTAGTAGTAACAGCAACAACAATAACAATAATGATAATGAGTGCTAGTATCTATTGAGCCTTATAAAGATGAAGAAACTGAGCTGGGTGTGGTGGCACAGGACTGTGATACCAGCACTCAGGAGGCTGAGGCAGGAGAATCGCCACAAGTTGGAGGCCAGCCTTGGCTACATAGTGAATTCAAGATCCTGTCTCAAAAATAAAATAAAATAGGGCCAGGGATTTAGCTCAGTGGTTCCACCGCCTGCCTCGCAAGCACAAGGTCCCAAGTTTGGTCCCTGATACCAAAAAAAAAACAAAACCAAACCCCAAAAACAAAGAAACAGATTTAGAAGTTGGAAATGTAGCTTAGTGGTAGAATGTGTGCTTAGTTTGCACAACGCCCTGGGTTCGAGCCCCAGCACACAATAAAAAGAAGGAAAGGGAAAAGAAAAGAAACTGAGGCCTAGAGGTTTTTTTTTTGGGGGGGTACCAGAGTTTGAACTCGGGTCCTTAGCTTGCGAGGCAGGCGGTGGAACCACTGAGCTAAATCCCCAGCCCTTAGAGTTTTTTTTGAGACAGGGTCTCGCTATGCATTCAGGCTGGCCTTGAACTCACTATGTAGCTGAGCCTGGCCTCGAACTCAGTGATCCTCATGCCTCAGCCTCCTGAATGCTGGGATTACAGGCATGCATCCACCATATCCAGTTGAGACCCAAAGGTTAAATTGCCCAAGGTCACAATCTGCAAATTGCAGGCGATTGAGTGGGTCCTCTTTGAAGTTCCTCTTTGATTTCATACTTGGGCCTGCCATGGCTTGCTGTGTGACTGTGGACAAGTTGCTGACCCTCTCTGAGCCTCTATCTCCTCTGACCTATGGAATGGATTCAAAAGCATCCTCTGATTAGATAGTGCGTTTACTCCCTAGGGCTGCTGGGACACATCATTACTAAACAAGAGGCTTAAAACAAGATAGTCTGGTCCTTCCCTCCCAGTTCAAGGGCAATCTGAAAGCAGGTGTAGGTGGGGCTGTGGCTGTCTGCAGGTTCCAGGGGAGGTTGCTTCTGGTCTCTTCCAGTTTCCAGTAGTCACTGCCAACCCCTGGTGTCCCCTGGTTTACAGCTTCATCACTCCAGGCTTTAGCCCTCTTCATGTGGCCTCTCCTCTGTATCCAAACTTCCCTGGATTTATTTTAGTTTTTGAGACAGGGTCTCGCTATGTAGCCCAGGCTGGTCTTGAACTTGTGGTGATCCTCCTGCCTCACCCTCCTGAGTGCCAGGATTACAGATGTGGACCACCATGCCTAGCTTCCCTGCTCTTACGCAGGTAGCAACTATGCTGGATTTAGGGCCCAACTCGAGTCAGTGCCACCCCATCTTGACTACATCTGCGACTTCCAAAAGGGTCACATTTGTACGTTTCAGGTGGAAATAACTTTGGGGGGGGCATTATCCAAGCCAGCATGGGTGGCACACAGGACAGGAGAGGGGCTGGAGGTCCCTCACAGAGGGACGGAGACTCCCTGGGCTTCTCTCTCCTGTCACCCCACCCGTCTCCTTCCCATCCAAACTCCTTTCATCACAGATGGTGACCAGGCCCAGAAAGGGCGAGGGTAGCCCCAGGTCACTGGGCCAGCCAGGGGGAGAGCTGGATTTGATCCCAGGGCCCCTAGCTCCCAGCCTACAAGCAGGTCTGTGAACCGCCCTGTCCTGGCTCCTCTGGCTCTGTCTCTCCCTGGACCTCAGCTGTTGCTGGGTGGGGACAGCACACACCCGCCGGTCTCAGCCTCCCTCTCGGCCCTGCCCTACCTCATGCCAGGAACGGGGTGCTTCTCGCCACCCCCACCCCCAACCCAGGGTGCCTGCGCACAGGGGCGGGTATGAGACACGTGTGCGCTCGCGGTACACGTCCGTAAGCACTGCCACCCAGCAGGCAGGGTTGCCCTCTCACCCTGCACCAGGGACAGTCACTATCCTCCCGGGAGACCTCCTCTCCCAGGGGCCACTCCATGTCTGCCAGTCTGCAGGTGAATGAGAATTTCAATCCAGTCTTTGTGGCTCCTAAACCTGGGGCAGCTGCTGCATCACGCGCAAACCTGAAGACAGGCCTCGGCCTCCAGATCCCAATGTCCCCAAAGATGATTTTGTCCTTCTGGGACATCTGGCCACCTCCATTTTTGGTTGGGAGAAGGGTGCTATTGGTATCTAGTGGGCAGAGCCCGGGGCTGCTGTTCTCCAGTCTCTAGTGCACAGGGCAGCCTGAAAGGGAATTATCCAGCCCCAGATGCTCCAGGTGTCATGGCGTCTGAGGTGGCCCTGTTACAGCTCCATACTCCTGGGGTGATCATCGCCTCCTTCAGGACCTCCTTTTATTTTTATCTTATTTTTTGTTTTTTGGAGACAGGTCTCACTATGTAGTGCAGACTGGCCTTGAACTCACTAGGTAGCCCAGGCTGGCCTCAAACTTATGATGGCCCTCCTGCCTCAGCCTCCCAAGTGCTGGGATTATAGGCGAGTGCCACCACCTGGCTAGGACCTTGTTTTAGGAAGCACTGCTCCCACAGTGCTGGTCAGGGTCAGAACCGGTGGGCCACCCTTGCCAGTCCTTGGGGGAAGAGAACTGCTTGCCTGCCATGACCATGCCCTTGACTGTGGGTGGCAAAGCCCCCCAGTCTGTGTGGGAGCTGGTTCAGGGCTTCTCAGACAATGCCCTCTCCAAGCTAAACCCAAGCCAAGGAGCAGAAACCCCACAATGCCAAAGCACTCTCTTGGGTTCTCAGTCTTTGGTGTCTGCTTGGTTCTGTTCACCTCAGCCCCTTCCCTTCCAGTCAAGGACTTAAACATTTCTCAGCCTTGGGTAAGGAAGGAGTCTTGGAAGCCCAGCTCCGAGACCTCTCTGGAAATCCAGGCACTGCCCAGGGCCTGCAAAAAAGCAGGGGCAGGTGGCTAAGTGTGATGAGTGATCATAAGCACCATGGCCCCATTTGCCTTGACCTGGGCCGGGTTGGCTGCTGGAGTCTCACAAGCTCAGGGCCTTCGCAGCCAGCATCTGTCACACAGTGCGCTCAGTAGCTTTTGCTGTCTTTGTGGTGCTGGGGATGGAAGCCATGCAAGTGCTCTACCATGGGCCGGCACCCCAACCCAACGACTGTTTTTTAATGAGTTTATCAAATCAGCCTAATTTACAGATGTGGAAAAGTGAGCTCTGGGGAGGAGGTTCAGGCAGACTTAGAAAGCTGAGTGGATGTCTAATTTGGGATGGGCTGAGCCTCACTTGCCTCACAGTATGATCATTTTCTGCATTATGTCGGGGTGACAGGTTCTCTAAGGGTAACAAATCTGCATGGCTTGAACACTTTTGGGAATTGAAGGGTGCAGGGACCACTCTACCTCTTCCACAGGTGAGCAAGCTGAGGCTCCCTGCTGGGGCCTGTGCCTCCAGACCCAGCTGTTCCCTAGGCGGGGTAGGCTGGAGGGCAGTGAAGCACAAAGGGCAGAGGGACCCGGGGAAGCTTGGATCACGGGCTCCAGTCTTCCCTGTGCAGCATGCTGCCCTCATGTGTCTGGTCACCAGCAGAAGGGTGCTGGGCATGTGTGTGATGGGCTTCCTGTGGGTTCTCCAGTGCAATGTTTCTCTGTTGGCTCAGGTGAAATTTGAGATTACCAACATGGACATGAAGCTGGGGAAAACCCTGAAGCTCAAGGGCAAGATCGCTGATGACATTGATGGGTGAGGCGGATGGGGGAAGGGGGAGGGCTGTCTTGTCAGGGCAGCGGGCAACTCTCTGCCTGAGACCAGATTCCGACATCATTGCTCATAGCCCATGCTCTGTGGAAAGCCCAAACCCCTGAGGGACCCCACACCCCTTAACCTAGGAGTTCAACCACAGGAAGCCACCAGGGGGCACCTCTGCATTTGCCCCTCTCCATTAGAACCTGGGACTCTGATCCACTTCTGGGAGTCTTAATTTACAGCTCAGCACTGGGCTCTCACACGTTGGGGACATTTTCAGCCCTTCTTGGGACCAATCTATGCCCACCTTGGGTTGGGAAGGGGGTAGGCAGATGCATGAAGTAGGTGACGCCAAGAGAAAAAAACGACTTTCTCCTGCATAGCTCCAAGTTTGCAGAAATGTGAGGATGCCCCAGGCCAGAGGCCCCTTCCCCTCAGTGAAGGAACCTCATAATCCATAATGTCCCATTCTCAGGGTAGTGATCCTGCTGAGAATCCCTGATTACGTACCTCTAGGGACAGGGAACTCACCACCCGAGGTCTTCAGTATCTAAGGACAGCAATCCTCTCCCCCAGGCCTCTAATTTCTGAAACTGTCACCATCAGTAACTGTCAACAGCCATGGCCTCTGCTCCAAATGGAATGTGCCACTACAGTGTCAAGTCTGAGTGGTTGTCACCTCCCTTGTTTTAGAGCACAGATCTCAATTAAAATATCTCTGGTGATTCTTTCAGCTTGTGGTCAACTGACCACAGCTCTGAGCCAGCTGTTTTCTCAGGGCTGGCCCCTAAATCTCACCTGTTAACCCCTCTTGGCAGCTTTGCAATTAACCTGGGCCAGGGTGCAGATGAACTGGCCTTGCACTTTAACCCTCGCTTCAATGAATCCACCATTGTCTGCAACTCACGGGAAGGTGGCAACTGGGGACGAGAGCAGCGAGACAGTCACATGTGCTTCAGCCAGGGGTCAGAGGTTAAGGTGAGGTCAAAGGGGAGGAGGGTGCAGGGAGGACGTCACAGGGTGAGCACAGGTCAGCCCCATGGGGACATGTGCGCCAGGGAATGAATCTACCAGGCACCGAGCTGGCCCATTTCCAGGGCCCCTCTTGCCTTGCTGACACCTCTCTCCCCACTGCAGCTCTCTGTGACCTTTCAGACTGATGAATTCAAGGTGACACTGCCAGATGGCTACGAGTTGACCTTTCCCAACAGGGTGGGCCACAGCCACCTGAGCTACCTGTATGTCCGAGGCCTCCACATCTCTTCCTTTAAGGTTGACTGAGTGTGCAGCACCTCCTCAAATCCAAGTCCCCAGCCTGGACTCCCTGTCCTGAGCCTTCCTGCAGCACCTCCAGGATCACAGGCCCTTGGCTCCTAGAGCTGTTTCCCAGCCCTTCACCTGCACTTCCTGCCCCTCTGGCCCATTTCCTTTCCCCCAAATCAAGAGGAAACACGTTTATGCAGCATCTCTGTGGTGGAACTGTGGTTATTATTGCTTTCCAGGTATTTTAAAGCTCCTGGCATTTTCATGATACAAAGAGGAAACTGAGGCACAAGGACATTGCTCTGCCAGATGGGGAGGCTGGGTGTGCTCCCAAATGGCCCCAAGTATCCACGCCTGCCTACCTCCCTGTTATCGCCAGAGTAAATGCCAAGTTGCCCCGTGGGATTGTGGGGAGGGTGCTGGTTGCGGGCTCCTGGGCCAGGGGCTGTCCCGGAAACTGCAGATAAGGCTTGCACCTGGGCCCTTATCTCAGGCAGGCATTCCAGTCTGGTTACTCAGTACCAGCCTGGCCTCCTGGCTGGGGCTGAGTGCTTTCCAAAGTCTAGGAGGGGATGGCATCTCAGTAGGGGGCTAAGCGGCTCTCCCAGGTCCCCAAGGTTCTAGCTAGACAACTTTTATCAAAAAAGCCTTCTTTGGGCCGGGGATTTAGCTCAGTGGTTTTGCCGCCTGCTGCGCAAGCACAAGGACCTGAGTTCGATCCCCAGTACCAAAAAAAGAAAGAAAAGAAAAAGCCTTCTTTAATCAAGCCCCAGAGCAGGAGTCCTCCTGCAAGGTCACACCTGACCTTTCTGAGAGGCTTCGGGGACAAGCGGGAATGCTGGGGAGGCAGCCTGGGGAGGGACTTGGGGACTTGGTGGGGTCCTTCTGGGGGGAGCCCCGATGGTCTGGGGCAGGACTCTGCCTGGGAGAGCAGACCATGGCTCCGTGTGGTCAGGTCCCCACCCCCACCCCCCAAGGGCAGCTTCCTCAGGCACAAAAGCCACACTGAGAGGCTGGACCTCCAGCCGGTGGGGGTGGCATGGGTGGGGCCCCGAGAGACAGTAGGTCTGCTCAGCAGGGCCACTGAGGACCCAGCCCGGGACTCCCCTCGTGTCCCCTCCCATTATCTGATCTGCAGAGGCGAGCAGGGGTCTGGGGAGACCTGGCTGCCCCGTCTCTCTCATCTGGCAGGTCCTGAGCCCGAGCCCAACCCCCTCACACCTTAACCTCATCATCCTCAGCGTCAGCAAACTCGAAGGTGTCAGCCTGCACAGTGCTGGGCACGGAGGCCCTGCTGCCTGCCTGAGGTGCCCTCCACTCTTCCTCCAGGCTCTCCCAGGAGCCCTCCGTGGGCTCCGGCTGGGCATGCACCTCTGGGTAGTGGCCGATGCCCTGGGTGGCACCCTGGCTGGCTCCCCAGTGCCTCCCAAGGGCCATGTCGGCCGGTGCTCGGGGCCCCTCTCCTACCAGGCTGGCGCTCACCTCAGCTCCTGGGCCCAACCCAGCGGTTACCCCATTGGGGAAATGTCCATGGGGTGGGGGCTGTGCAGCAGGGGCCAGTGGGTTTGGGGTAGGGGCCAGTGGGTTTGGGGCAGGAGCCAGTGGGTTTGGGGCAAGGTCCTTGAGATTTGCAGAAGGGGCAGAGGGGTTTGTGGCAGCAATCAAGGGATTTGAAGCAGGGGCTGGGGTCTCAGCTGCAGGGGCTTCTGAGAGGCTCATGACCCCCAGAAGCTCGCTGAGGAGTGAGGGCCCGAGGTCAAGGTCGAGGCGTAAGGACAAAAGTGAGTCAGAGCGGCGCAGCTCTGGCTCACAGGGGAAGGAAGGGTCCCGGTCTTGCTCACTGGCCTTTTCCAGGCGGGGCAGGCGGGAGATGGTGCAGAATCCTGAGTCCAGGGCTAGAAGAGAAGTGGGGTGTGGGTCAGAGCTGAGGTCTCTTACCAGGACCAACCCTGGCTGCTGTGTGGCCTCTGGAAAGTCACTGCTCCCCGACACTTCAGTTTCCCCCATCTTTCCCATACAGTCCTTGTGTGATCCCTGAAACCGAAGGTGGTCATGATCCTTGTTCCCATTTTGCACAGGAAGAAAGTGAGGCTGTTTGAGATGGGAAAGGTGGTGCCCCAAATCTCCTGAGTCTCAGTCCCAACTGTGCACTTGGCCACAAACCCCAGTTCCTGCCAGGACACTGGGCCTGAGAACCCACAGTAAGTGGGCTGGTTGTGGAACCAGCGGCCAAGGTGACTGCATGGAAACCACAGGCTCAAGGACAGGCACTTGCCCTCTGAAGTCATCAGGTCAAGACCACAGGGCCTGAGACGTGCGTGACAGGTTACTGTGGATCAGTCCTCAGTGGGGTTCTCCCAGCCCTCTGGAGGAGCCTGGTAGGGGCAAAGCCACATGGCAGAGCCCAGCCACCAGGGGGCAGCAGAGGCCCGCAGTGCCTAGGTGAGAAGTCCCAGCTGCCCAAGGAGGCAGATCCATGTGAATGGTCTTCCTAATTGGTTAGGGTATGGGAATTTCTACTCCACTAACAGCAACAGATCATGTCTCTGAAGCACCTGCTATGTGCCAGACTCTGGGCCTTGCCTGGCACATGGATGATCTTACTGGATCTTAGCAATGACATAGGGGGACTCCTTACAGGCCAGGGCTTGATCTTGCAGGGGTCAGGGGCTTTGGCTGGAGTCAGGCAGAACCAGAGTTGGAAGCTAGAGCCCAGGCTCTTTACTTCAGCATCTTATCAATCTGACTGCAGGGCACTGCTTTAATTGCAGAGAGTGAAAGAGGGTGTGCTGGCCCCACCTGGCCTAGAGAGGGGGAAGGGCTTGTCTGAGACACACAGTGGGGTAGGGGCAGTTGGAATTCAAAACTGCCTCTTCCATCTCAGCCTCAAAGTGTTTTGGGGGCATAAACTGGTTCCCAGCTCTTTACCTGTCCCTGTCCATTGCCTGGGGATTGGGCCTGACCTGCAGGGTGAGACCAAACCAAGGGAAAAGGCTCAGCCTCAGGCAATGGGCAGCGACCCCCCAGGCCCTCACCGTAAGCTGAGCGGCCTTCCGTGGAGCTGGCAGGGCTGCTGTCGAAGCTGAGCTTGCCCACCATCAGGCTGTCATAGGCGGCCTGGTTGAGCTGGGGCAAGGAGATGGCGTTCTTGATGATGGGCGAGATGGCAGGTGGAGCTGGTGAGGGTCCGGGTGGCGAGGCCATCCTCCGGGCTGGCACCCTGACCCTCCTCACCTGCTGCAGCTTCCTGGCCAGGAAGCTGCGGGGCGAGCGGTGGTTGCCTCCAGAGCTGCCACCATGGTTGCTGAGGAAGGAGGTGTCCCCGAAGACGTCCCCCCCACGGCCCACATGCATGGTGTGGCGGAAGTCCCCAAGTGGGGGGCTGATCATGTCTGCGGTCAGCCGCCTCTTCCCGTGTGAGCTGGACACCCAGCCCACAGGCGACAGCTTGCCCAGGCTCATGGTGGGGGCTCCTCCGCCCCCCTGGGGGCCGGGCATCAGCTCTGGCTGCTCAGGACTGCCAGTCCAGGCCCATCTGGGGCTGGGTACGGGGGCAGGCTGGGCTCAGGGCCCCTTTGTCAGCTCTTTCCTCTGGATGGAGGCTGCAGTGTGGCTCTCCTAAGGTGCTGTCCCCAAAACGCAGAGCAGACCCCCCGAGACCTGGCGCCTGGCCCTGGGAAGCAGCCACAGATGTTCCGTCTTCAAGACGGCAGGCACGAGATGGGCCTCAGAGGTGGGCAGCCCTCTCCTGCCCAGGCTTGGAGACCTGGAGGAAGGACAGAGAGAACAGCGATGTAATGTGACCGCAGGCTGGTGCAGAGGAGGAAATCTGGGGTCCAAACCATGACAGCCAAAGAGAACAAAGTTACAGCCAACGACACTGATGGAGGTTGAGACCAAATGCTGAGTGGAAGCTGGGCACAAAGGACAGGCTGAGTGAGTCAGTGGAGAGAAAGTTCAAGGGCAGGATGGCTCGACAATCAATGGCCACAGAGATCAGAGCTGTTTTGCCCATAAGAAGGTACTGACAGAGCAGCACAACCACCCCTCCAGCTGCACTCTGAGAAAAGCGTAGCATGATTGTGCCTGGGGCCTAGGATGAAGCACTTGAAAGCACCCAGGCTTCACCTGCATCAGCAATTTAACCCGAAGTTCCCGGGGGAGACACTATACTAGAATGGGGAAACTGAGGCACCAGCAGTCAAGTGACTTGCCCAAGGCTATGTAGTAGGAAGCGGTGAAGCAGGGCCCAAACCCCAGGACCCTTGAGCCCCAGGCAACACTGCCTCTTGTTGGCACGTGGAACAGGGCACCTCCCTTCTGTAGGCTCAAATCTCTTCCATCCGGGGCAGCCAGGAGGAAGGAGGTGCCTCAACAAGGCCTCGTGAGCTCTGTGTCAACAGCCAGCACGGAGCTGTCCCGGATGCCTGTACCTACAAGGTGGTTCCTGGAAAAAAGGGATTCTGTGGCCAGAAGTAGCCTTTTTCCAGCTGCCTCCTGCAAGCCTGACAGATTCAAGGCTCTTCAAAGGCCCATAGGAAAGAGTTTATCCACCTGTCAAACTGATGTAGGAGCCTTGTGTCGGTGAGCAAGTTTTGGAAAAGGCATAGCAGGTGCCAAGCTATTCCTCGTCCACGGTCTTCTTTCCTGGTCTCCCCGTGTCACATCCTCCCTGGCCCCAACCTTCCCTAAGCATCTCTTGGTGTGCAACGTCTCTTGAGAGAGCATCACATTGTGTGAAGTCCAGGAAAAGCCGGGTGAGGTGGCGCACATGCCTGCAGTCCCAGTACCCTGGGAAGCCCAGGCAGGAGCATTGCAAGTTGGAGCCCAGCTTGGTCAACTTAAGTGACTAAATGAGACCTTGTCTCAAAAAGAAAAAAAGGGCTGGGGATGCAGGGATGTAGGTCAGTATGAAGGTCCTGGGTTTAATTCCCAGTGCCAAAAAATAAAAATAAAAGTCCAGCCTAGAAGGCACCTAGGATCCTAAGGTTGGCCTCTGTTTTTCCAGTAGCCCAGAGAGGGCCAAGCTTGATCGAGGTTGCATCTAGAGAGCTAGTTGAAACCTGAACCCAGGGCCTGTGACTCACATGAGCCCTGGGCTGGCTTGTGGAGCCCTGTCTTGTCTCCAATCGGCAGCACACTTTGAAGACAGGGCAGGGCCTGGATCTTCCTGCCTTCCTCCCTCCTGCACCCAGCCCGGGCTCTGCACATGGCCAGTGCCAAGTCAACACCAGCTTAATCACTGATCTCTGCAATAACCTTCACGCCAAAGGGGCCACTGTTTGCCACCTTCTGAGAGGTGAGGGTAGGTTAGGGACTCGCTGTCCTCACCGTGTGACCTTGGGCAAGTCACCAACCTCCACAGACCTGGGGCTCAGCAGATAAAAGCTGATAATGATCTTTAACAAGAACACCTAGATTTCAGTCTCAACTATTTTCTCCCCCTAAACCACTGCTGCCACCTCCAAGCATAAAAAAATCTCAATCTTGTCCTAATGTTATTTGAAATTCAAAATAGGTTAAATAACAAGATAAAAAACAAAGACTGCATAAGACAAAGCTTGCTTTGTTTTCTGACTGCATTCTCTTCCCTTCCCACCATCTGATCCTCCCCCAACCATAGCTCCTCCCCGTGGGGGGGTGACTTCTGAATCATCCCTTTCCCTGACACCCCCGGCACCGCATTGAGACGTCCTCGTGGAATGTTTGCTGAAGTTATGAAGCCATCCACAGTTGGCCAACCATTGCATGATGTCATCGGATCCTTCAACAACCCCTCAAGGCTGGGGGGCTGGCCCTCTGCACAGGGAGGCCTGGGGTTCAGAGGGAAGAGACTTGTCCAAGGTCATGTGGCAGGTACAAGGCAGGGACCAGGTTTCCCCATCTCCAGGGACTAATAAGTAGTCTGGGGGAAGGGGCTGGGGTTTGGTCAGCCCTAGTCTGCCACGTGGCCCCACCTACCTCACTCCCAACTCCCTGACCTCTCAGACGGGACCCTCTCCCAGCAAAAGGGGCTCCAGCCCCCACCCAAGCCCAAGGCTACTCTGACTTGGGAGCCCAGCTTCCCCTACATCTGGTGATCATCCCACCTCCCATTGCCTCTGCCCACTGCAGTAGAGACCTTGGCACATGTCTCCAGGGGGGCAAATGGGATCAGCATCGTAGGCAGGTCCCTCCCAGGGGACAGAGGAAGGGTGGAAGATGTGGGTAACTCAATGCTTTGATCCAGGAGCAAGGCAGCCAGAGTTCAAACCCAATGCCTTTACGCTAATATCTATCATTGTGAGGACCCTTGGTGACAGTCATGTGGCACTTGATTGCAGGCCATCAGCTGCGCCCCTTCTGGCACAGGAGGCCGTAGGGCACTGGTGTCACGATGAGGGTCCTTTCACTAATCAGCGTAGGAATATCACCTGTTAATGCTCACAACCCCCATTTTACAGATGAGAAAAACAAGGCTCAGAAGGCAACTGATTTAATTTCACCCAGATCACAGCAAAAAAGTGGTGTCTGGGAGCCTGCCTGGGTTTCTGCCAACATCAGCAGTAAATGGCCAGGGTTAGGATGAAGACTGCCAGGGAGAGGTGCTGGGGAGATCCGCCGCTGGCTGCCCCGAACAAGAGGGCAGGCCTGGGGGCAGGAGCTCAGCTCTGGGATTTGGAGTGTCTGACCTGGCATGGTGGTCACCATGCAGCCTCACTGTCCCAAGAGTCGGTCAGTTCACCCTGAAGAGGATGTCGGGGTGCGGGCACACTGTCGGAGCTCACTCAGGGGACAGTAACCACCCGGACCTGACCGCAAGGATGAGGCCTGGGGTTGGGGGTGGGGACGCGCACTGGGAGGGGCCAACAGGGGCCGCTATGGGAACAGTTGAGGTCACCAGGCCAGGGCCTGCTCCGGAGGTGGAGGACGGCCAGGCGGGGGGGGGGGG